GAAGGGCTATTGCTTTCATGCCCTTGTTGAAGGCATCTTGGAAGTTCATGGCTATCCACTATGGGAAATAGGAAGCTAACTGGACTAACTGGTAGACCTTTGGTCTGAGCCAACAGAGCACTTCTTATTTTCTGAACTGCATGCACTATGGCAATATTATAAATGTGGATGTGGGCAAACATTTTGAGCATATCACTTTTCTTAGTAAACCTTTTCTTAGTTTTCGCTGCCCAAGTGCAAGCACATCAAAAGTTTAGTAGCCAGTATTTAGGTGTAGGTTGGATCCCTATGGCTCTTTTCTCAGAAGGTAGGGGAAAGTAGATGCCACTGAGATTAAGGCCAATCCCCTTACTTTTATTTAACGCCTCCAACCTGCCAATATTTGGGGAGATGCTCAGCATAGCTCTATTGTAGTGAGAAGAACAGGATTAGCTGTATTCATACTCTCATACCCGTATGGTTAACTATTAAACCATTGCTATTTTTAAATAACCATTAAATACCAGTTGCCAGAGGACTGGCAGTGGGGAAGGGATATTGCTTCCATGCCCTTATTGACTCTTAAAATTTTTGTTTTCTCCTATTCCTGAACAAGTATATACAAACTGAAAAATAAACCAATCTGCTCTTCAACCTTCACAGCTGGCAATTTCTCATAGAATTTCTCATGAGCTGAACAATCATGAAATATTATTCCTCATATTTTATAGCACATCTTCACCATTCCACTCTTACAAACTGTAGCAGGCTTTATAGATTTCAAACACCTGAAGTGTGGTGTAGTGGGAAAGATATGCAACTTATATATGTTTCTTCTCAGAGTCACTGAAAACCAAAAGTTATGCTTGGTTTGGTTGGTCATGTTGAATAACCATCCGAACTCAATCAATAAATAAAATGATCTGGCAGACATTGTTGACAATAACTAATTTATATAGCACCAAGAGTTACTGAGCATCAAGCCTTCCAATTACTTCACTGGCACAAGCCTTGTTTATTCGTCTTACGTAGTTTTTGAAGATTAAAACACTGTTTAGAATGTTATTGCAAAGAAACACCATAGCTATTTTACTTTTCCATTGATTTTGGTTTAAAATTTGATTAAATTTCATCCAGTTATATCATTTGGAACTTGGAAATAAGGAGTTAGAATCACAGAACCCTGAGATTAAGAGTCTCATGCTCTACCAACTGAGCTATGAAGGCAGAATTACTGGAAATAATTGGCATCACTAACTAGCTGGTTGTTGGCATCACTTTTGCCTGTACTCTGGAACAATAGTAAATAATGCACTTCAAATCATACTGTACCACAAGGCTGAAATTCTGATTTTTCACCAGTATGTGTGTGTATAATACAGATTCTCCTACAGATTTTGCTTTGTAATTTTATTACTTCTCACTCCATAGCTCATTTAGCTTAACAGTTCAAACTCCAGTTATAAAAACAGAATGCAAAGGTAAAGGTATCACATGCTCACTGCATCAGTGTATGGAAAGTATCGAAGAAAAATGGCAACAGCATCACCCCCCCCCATTAGACTGCTATATTAGTTCAATTTTCAAAGAAAAGATCAATCAAGGAAAGCTCAATGCAAATATAAAAGAAATATTAGACAAATGTATCCTGCTACATCAAAGAAGACTTAGGCACCATGATTATCACTAACGGTAATTAACGGTAAAAGGGCCTGTTATAAGAAAATAATGTTATTTGAAAGTTCCTAAGTTCAAAGTTTAGAGTTAGTTGAGTTCACACATCATTGTTCCTGTAACTGGAATGATTAAACTAAGACATTTTTGGTTACAAGAGGAGTATCAGGGTGATATAAGAGAGTAGGGGAGTGATGGTTCTTGCTATGTAAGGCTGCCAGTTCTTTATCCATGGGGAATTATGGACAATCTGGGATTGATCACCACCAAAGGTGGGTCTGTGGGCACATTTGCAAACCAGCCACATGCACACCACAACCTATCTTATTGCATACAACAGAATGCTTATTTCAGCAGAGGAAGGGGAAAGGAAAAGGAACCTGTAGGAACTGAAGAAGACCTCTGAGAGCACATATGCACTCACAAGCATCATACTGGCAACTCCTGGATTGAGCACATGCCTTTTATTACTATTTCCCAGTAAAAACATGGCAATTTCTTGGTAATTTAGTTATGTATACTTGCTTTTTAAAAATTTGCTTATAGTGTTTGTGCATTGTTGTTATTGTTTTATATTATTTTATGTATGCTGTTTGGAAGTTTGTTTGTTTTTTAAGTAACAGGTTTATACTTTCCCCCCTAAATAAATACATTAAAAGTACACAGCAACACTTTTAGTGTGCTGTGTTATTGTTCACTCTCGAAAATGTTTGTAAGACCGGGTAGTATTGCATTTATTAATTGTGGACACTCATAAGTATGCATGAATGCAGGGAATAACTTTTGGGGACAGGAATCATCTTGGTAATAGCCAGCTATTTCTGGAACTCCAGAAACTCCTCATTGCAATTATTTTTGAGAGAATTCTGGTGTCTCCTCTCAAGTGTCAACCTCCTTGCTATTCACAGTCTTTGAGAGATTCACATGCATCCTCAGTCCCCTCTCCCCCAAAAATGTTAATAAACGCTTAAGGCTGATCCATTCTGTGGCAAGCCCAGTTGCCTTTTTGACATGAACTCCTTGGCAGAGCAAAGTTTTATCTTCAGATATTTTATTTTATTTTTTTAAAAAACCCTCTTCGCTTCCCATAAGGGAGGCAAAACCTGCATAACCACAGCATGTTTAAAAAATTTCCCAGAAGTTGTTGAAACTCCAGACATAAAGACAGGCTGCAGGTGTGTCAACATTCACATGCGAATGCTGGTAACCTGAGATGAAGCTGTGGGGACCTCAGAAACTCGTATCTCATTTCCCCACTTTTGGAGTGCACACAAGTGAATGCTGTTATTTACAACTGCCCGCAATTCAGGGTGTGCGGTCTCCGAGTTTTCTGGCTATACGTGTGTATTACAAACCGACTATACGTCTGTACTGGTGACAACTGGGGTTGGGATTTGTAGAGCGGCAGCAGCAGCAGCAGCAGGGGAGGGAAATGTGGGTGAATGGCCGCAGCACGGAGCTGTCTCTCTCACGATAGGACACAGCCAGTGGGCGGTGGCTGCTGCTGCTGCTGCTGCTGCGGAGGCGGCGGCGGCGGCTGCATCCCCTCGCGCGGGGATTTGGCGAGCGCCTTTTGCCCCTGATCTGCTGGCGGCGCGCGCGCTTTTTCTCCCGCGCTGCCAGGCGGCGACGGACTGGGGCTCTCCCCTCCGTCAAGCCCTGCGCTCGCGCCCAGCCCGTGGCGCGCGACGAGTAGGATCAAAGCGAAGGCAGGGGACGCTCCCTCAGCGAGGGAACAGAGCGCGGGAGAGAAGCTCCGGCCGGAGGAACGCCTCCCTCCCCCGCCCCCTCGGGGACGACTTAGCGAGACCCGAGCGGGGATCACTCCAGCCCCGTCAGAACCGAGCGGCTCGCCTCCCGCCACCCCCGCCAGGCGCCCCTCATGTCGAAGCAGCTGCCTCTTGTTTGCTCCAACATACCTTTCTCTCACATAATATAGTATAAGAAATATTAATAATAGTCTCCACATACGAGCGCTGACATAATATAGTTGTTCAATCCTCACCATCCCCACCTAGGAGTGCTGAGGAGACAAGGCGAACTGCGGGAGGGGGGGAGCTCTTTATTCTGAAGGGGAGGCTGTCAAAAAAACAAACAGAGAGGAGGGAGATTGCAATATCTCTATCTCTATAAGTATATAATATAGAGATATCCCTCCTCTCAGATCAGCTGGGAAGACGCGGCGTTTCTCTTCCCTTCTCCTCCGCCCTGGTTCCCCCTACAAGAAAACTCACAGGAGCAAATCTCTGTTATGAGGAGAAAAGGTGAGCAGCTCCTTCGGGGAAATTGGTGGAGGGAGGAGAAAAATCAAGGCTGGACCAAACTTGGAAACGCCAAGCTCAGCTGCAGTTGGGCTTTCCTCTCCAGTTAGTGAGGCATTTTCTCTCTCTCCCCTTTCCACCGCCCCACAACACACAGAAAATAAAAAAAAGCTCGTTCTTCAATGATTTCCTTATCTGAGGAAGCCTCTCAACTTTCGCAGACACCTGAAGGCATCTTTTCAAAGGCAGAGAGGGGTGAAGACCTGCCTAAGTTATCTCCTGGGCGTCTGTCCTTCCCCTCTGTCTGGGCAAAGGCTCGATAAATGGAGAGGATCTAATCTGTGTGATCTGCGAGGTCTTTTCTCCATCTCTCCATCCACCACTCCTCCATCTGCCTACCCGTGAAAGGCACAGAATTAATATATGCATCTGTCTACTCTTTCTCTATCCGAGCCTCCCCTCGGTGCATCCGATTAGGACAGAAAGAGAGCGAGCGAGCGAGGAAGTTTCCTCCCCGCCTCCCCCGCAGCCTCCATCACTGCACCTTTTCAGGAGGAGGGCGTCCTATTTAGAGACGGCAGCGAGCAGAAAGGAGCCCCGAGACTGCGCGTCAGATGTAGAATTAAAAATAAAATAAAACAAACAACGGGAGGAAGGGAGGGACTAAGGAAACGACCGCAGGGCTGCTTGTTTGGTGATTATGCCTATATTATTATTATTATTATTATTATTAGTCTTGCCAGTGCGCTTATCAGGATTACGCGGAAGCCCTGACTGCATCTGCGAAGCGCCCGTTGCTAAAGAGGACATGTCTGCGGATGGATGACACATAATCTGATTAAAGAAAATAACTACATACAAGAAAAACACCCACAGCTCGGGCTTATTCGCACGTCTCTTTCTCTCCCCCCCCCCACCACGCTTGCCCCTTCCCCAAGACTGCCCGGCGCCTTAATTTACTTCATTTATTTATTTCTGGACTTTGCCCTCACTTTCCACACCGGAATGCGCCCGGGCTGCTCTGCCCCTGCCCCTGGCGGCGGCGCCCCCGTCGAGCATCCTCGCGCCCCCTCGCCCGCCGCTCACCTCTGGCGGACGACGGCGCTCCCAGGCTGGCGCACAGCACGAGCCAGGCGCCCACCCAGCGGCTCATGATGGTGATCGCTGGATCTCCCGAGGGACGAGCCCGAGGCGGCGGAGTCGAGGAGTTTGGCGCGGGAGGAAGAGCGGCGGTCTCTCCGCCCCTGGTCGCTGGGCGGCAGATCCCCACCAGGAAGAAGGCGACGTCCCCGCGCGTGAGGGAAAAGCCTCTCTCCTTCTCCTCTCCCTCAAGGACGGCGAGTGCCGCGTCTCGCCTAATGGCCAGGATATCCTCCTCGGAGACCCCCGCGCAGCTCGCGGCCGGAACGCGGCTGCCGCCACTCGCCGCTCATCGCTCGCCGGTTCCGCGGCTGCGCTGGGCAGGTGTGTGGGAGCGAGCGAGCGAGCGAGCGAGAGACTCTTCCTTCGCCTCCTTCGCCTGCCGCGGGTCGGTGGGGGCAGCCTCTTGGCTGGCTGCTCCTGCCGCTGCTGCAGGGAAGAGAACAATGACGAGGGAGAGAGAGAGAGAGAGCGCTCTGCCGGCTGGAAAGTGCGCTGTGTACAAACAGAGGCGGCGTGCGCGCGGCTGGCTGAGGCGAGAACCACACTCTCCGACGCCGAAGCCGCCTGCTTTCCCCTCCTCGCCTCCCTTCACTCAAGAGGCAGCTCCGGGCGGGGGGGGGGGAGGCAGCGAGGACCGCGGACACACCCTGCCCTCTGATTGGCCCGTCTTTTGTCTCAGTGAGCGGCGCGCGCTGGAGGTGGGAGCTCGAAGTAAGAGGCAAGTCGAGAGAGATGGGCAAAGAGGACTCGTTCTCTTGGATGGGGAGCGGAGCGGAGTCGCTGAAGGGATGGAGGGAGACCGGGTTCTCAACCAAATACGGAACTAGGATCTTCTCTCTCTCTCTCCCTCTCCCTCTCTCTCTCTCTCTCTCTCTCACACACACACACCTCCCTCTGTCTCCCAGCTTTACTGGTTGTGGATGTTGAATCGGACATGTCGGGGAGAGTGTGGGTGAACCCCAAAGTGCAAAAGTTCTCAATTGTTCTGTATTATTGTTGGCTTGGCATTAATCACACTTTAACACCGAGTTTTTTAAAGCAGGTTTCAAAGTTGTTGGTTTGTTTAAGGGGAATATCTTATCATCATCACCACCATCATCTTTAGTGGTAATATTCATGCTGCAAAAGTGGGAATTGATATTGAGAGTGGTAACCACCTAAGGAGTTCATAGCTAAGCTAAGGTGGGAACTGGGATTGACTTGTAGGCACGATCCTCCCCAGTTTTTACTGTGCAATTTCAGTTCAAATCCTAGATTGACTGTACTTGTTCCAAAAACAAGCAAACAAAACCCAACAATAGGTGGTCATCTTGCATTCTTATCTGTGTATAGTGAATGTTTTGTGTGAGGACAGAGCATGAACACTAGATTTAAGTCATGAATATTGTGACCTTAAAAAGGTAAAGAGACCCCTGACCATTAGGTCCATTCGTGGCAGACTCTGGGGTTGTGGCGCTCATCTCGCATTATTGGCTGAGGGAGCCGGCGTACAGCTTCCGGGTCATGTGGCCAGCATGACTAAGCCGCTTCTGGTGAACCAGAGCAGCACACGGAAATGCTGTTTACCTTCCCACCAGAGCGGTACCTATTTATCTACTTGCACTTTGACGTGCTTTCGAACTGCTAGGTTGGCAGGAGCTGGGACTGAGCAACGGGAGCTCACCCCGTTGCAGGGATTCGAACCACCGACCTTCTGATTGGCAAGTCCTAGGCTCTGTGGTTTAACCCACAGTGCCACCCGCGTCCCTTTATTGTGACCTTAAAGGTAAAGGGACCCCTGACCATTAGGTCCAGTCGTGGCTGACTCTGGGGTTACGGTGCTCATCTTGCTTTATTGGCTGAGGAAGCCGGTGTACAGCTTCTGGGTCATGTGGCCAGCATGACTAAGCCGCTTCTGGTGAACCAGAGCAGCACACGGAAACACTGTTTGCCTTCCCGCCAGAGTGGTACCTATTTATCTACTTGCACTTTGACGTGCTTTCGAACTGCTAGGTTGGCAGGAATTGTGACCTTACCCATGCGGAATTTTAAAAATGTGTGGCATGCCATCAGTTTCTTATGTTTTCTGTGATAGCCAGAGAGTGAAGCCATGAATGCTTGTAATAAAAGTATCAACATAATTTGCATTATTGGTTTAGCCCATCCCTAAGTGCAGCCTTAAAAACAAAATGCAAGTGGTTGCTGGAGTCCAAGAATCAGGCAGAAGATTTCTAGGAACTTCTAGGAAACTGAAAATGTTCCAGAACTGTTAAAGCTTATCATCATCAAGGGAATTGTCTTTTAGAAACCACACATTTCAAAGAAATCCGCAGTTCAGTAATAAATGCAGTTCAAAAACAGATCATTTTAGGGTACAGTATTATGAGGCAGTGTACTTGACTACATGGATATTTTTCTCAAATCTGAATGCTTTCAGATTACTGTGTTTAATAATTCTGCTGTGTGAGCATGGAACAGTGCATCCAGATGTTATGAGGTTGATAAGCTTTCATATTTTGACAGGGTTCCACCCACCATCTCCATTTTCTGTGCATTCTAGAAATATTAGTTGAGATACTAACATAGCAGGTAACAACACCAAGACAAAATCATTGATGTAGAAGGCCTATTAAGCATCATTTGCTAGCTTGCCATGTTATCAAGCCTATCTCTGCATGATATGAAAGTTTCTTGAATCTTCTACTTTTTGCAAAATCTTTGGCTACTTTCCTCAAAAACCATTCTACACTCCTATCTCACCACTGGGATATATTTTGTCACTGACATTTTATTTTTTATTTAATTTTATCCCATTAGCTGGTTGGAGGAGAGATTTATAGCGTGGGCCATGTCCTTTTTATCTGCTCAAAAGAGATGAAACCACCCAAGTAATAACTTACATTTATACAGTGCATTTCCTCTCCAGAATCCCAGATCACTTTGCACACTCTATATATACAGCAATCACTCCATTCATCACAAAAATGCAGCTACCTCTCTGGTGGGCATGTTGGACCGCTAGTGCACACCCACGGAAAAGCTTCAGATAAGAACACTACTTCAGAATATAAATGTAAGAAGAAATGGGTTGAGCGTTACAGTCACAATGGAGTTTGGCCAGGAATTCTAAAATAGCATCATTTGTAAATCTCCTTGCCACTATGATGAAATATGGGATCAGAAGTGACCAATTGCTGGAGAATAGTTGCTTATTTAAAATGAGAGGGTTAAAGTCACTGACACAAACACTGTAGGTAATCAGTTTCTCATACATAGAATCTCACCTGCCCATCCCTCCATTTTTTAGTTAGCATTTAGTACAATTCCATTCATGTGCACAAGACCTTTCCCCTTCACTTATAGACAGCAGGATGCACTTCCAGCAGTTCTTCACTTATACTTCAGCAGTCCTTTGGTTCATGGACTCACACAACACCTCTGGACTTTTCTTTCATACTGATCAGAGATTGCACCATGTCGTTTAATCATTTTCATTATTGTGGAGTTGGATGTGAAGTCTTTTCTACCTTTCATACATGCTCAAAATCTTCTTGGGAGAAATTGCAACAAGCACCCCTGCTATCTGTCATTGTCTTCACACAATTCACATTAACATATTTCACATCCACATCTCCTTCAAAACAACCCAAATATGTTATGGTTCCACCACCTACTGTGATGTCTATTGATGTTCCTCTCAGCGTTTTTATCAGCCAAAAGGTTTTCTTTATTGTTATCATTGATGCAGGTGCCAAGGTCACATGCCGGCTGCTAAGTCACTTCAGCAAAAGATTCAAGCAAGTTGGACAGAGCTGGACTTTTTCTCTGCTGTCATATATTTTAGCTCATCATGACTATTCTTGTGTTTTCTGGATTCAGTAGTTCCTTTGGACCCAGCAGGACTGAATTAATATATAATGTTGCTCAATTTCAAATTACAGGATGGCAGGATTCTTCCTGGAAAACCACTATGAAAACAGTGTGATTTTATCCCTTTTCAGGTGCTATTCCCCAAGAGGGAATCTCAAAGCATGTGGGGATGGGTGGGAAATATTTACTAGCCCTCTCCCAACATTTCCATCTACTCCACTCCCTTCCTTAATTGAATGGGAAAGTCTGGATGGGCTTCTAACTGAGTTCATTTGACTGGCTTGGAAGCATCTCTGCAACTGGGAACTCTGTGTTTTGAGACTATCAGTGTTCATGACAGTGAGGCTTCTAAGTATATTAGCCACATGCACTTAGGGAGCAATCCAAGCCAAAGATCTGCTGGGGTGAGTAGAGTTTGGAATAGGTGGGTATCTTGTTGAGCCTGGGCTATGCTGTCTGAAGTCCCAGATCCTAACTCAGCCAGAGATATGCTGGCATAGGCCCTCCATCCCAGCTCAGACAAGACTCAGATGGGGTAAATCTCCCACAAAAGGTCATGGCAGTGATGAGCTAGGACAATGGGAGGCTTACCACGATTACCAAGTCTGTTCAGCTCAGTCCCATGGCCTAGCATCCCAACAGAAGTTACAGTGGCAAAAAGGGAGTTGTAAGTCAGAAGGTGTGCTTTCACTCTGTCAGGCTTGGGCCAGCTCAGCCAGCAGTAGCAGAGTTTGGGATACAGGTAAATTACACCAGCATTATTTACCCTGCCTCAAATCACACTGGCTTCCTATAATTTGGATTGCTCTGATCAAAGCTCCATCCAGGACTTCCTGCTCAAAATGTGCAAACCGGGAGTAGAAGAGGTGGGGTCAGTGCACACAGAGAAATTGGGGGCTTGGCGGGTGTGTGGGCACCCACTACTTAACATCCAGATTTGCTGTTGAGCTGTAATACTTAAGCATCCTCTCGTTGCCATGTAGTTGGTTGTTGTGGATGCTTTCAGTATTTGATTTGCCAATGGTCCTTTCAGAAGAAGCTCTTCCTGTAACAAATGCAGGAACTATCTCTGAGACTGCCTGTTTCCATATAGTACACATTTCTGGGGAAAAGGAATTAGGAAGTCTAATGCTTTTCCCCAATTCCCAACCCTGTCCCTGCTTTGAATGTCGCTTGCTTCAACAGTGATACACACTAATTAGTCTGCATTAAAACCTTGTAATTTACAATGAACATTCTAAAAAAAGTGTTTTTTATAATGTAAACACACACAACGTTAGTGGCATCACACTAGACTGGGAATGTGGACTATGCTGATTATTATTCTACTAATCTGTAGTGTGAGGTTGGTGCTACCAATTCATTTTTGCCTTTCTGAGCCTCAGCTTTTTAGTCAATGCTTTGTCTTTTTTATCTTGTTGTTGACATCCATCTGTCTCGAGAGAAAATGAGACACGAAGTGCGCCTCTGGGGGTGAAGTCAAATTGCTGGAGAATCACAGCGCCTGCTGCAGCTGCAGATACTGGTAACTCACAACTGCTGCCTCCAGTGTTGTTTTTGTTGCTTTAGCAGCACTGTGACCTCTCTGGGGTGCAAATCTGAGCACTGTGTATGGAAGTCCTGGGCTGCCCAGATGACAAGACCCCCACTCTCAGCCTCCGTGATGTGGCCCAAAGGAAAGCAGAGAAATACATTTGG